CACCCCACACCCACACCCACACCCACACCCAACCCCTATATTGACAAGATCATATAAATTGCTTTGTTTTTTTTTCTTGTTTTGTTTTTGTTTTAAAAGGAATGGCAACCACTATTTTATATTAATGTTGATGAATTTCGTTTTATACCACGTATACAACGTATTAATGAACTTGAAGCTGGTACACGAGCAAAAATAAAACTTTATGAACGTTTAACAAAATTATTTGAGTCTCAAGGACTTAATATAAAAATTCCAACAGTTGAAAAAGAAACTTTAGATTTGGCAAAATTACATAACCCATGTCCTTTGAATCGGCTAAAAATTGCCGATTAATCCCGATTCATCGAAACGATAATCGTGAGCTGAATCGCGATAGAATCGCCGATTATTCCCGATTATTTCAGCGATTTTTACGATAAATCGTGATATTATGCAAGATTTAACCGTCTGTTTACTGATATTTTCTACTATTTCATTGGTTCTTTTGGAGACACATATTTGGATTTTTTCTTGAATTTAATTCAACTTTTTTTGTTCTCAAGATCCAAGCCGATCAGATCGTGCGATCTGTCCGATCTCGAGCTGGTCCGATTCTTATCAGACCGCTTCAGTGTAGTCCTCTCCAGATCATGGATCGGGATTGGCATTTCCTTGATTAAAAATAACCAAGAAATAATTTATCAGAAAAGTATATTTCGAAAACTTATTTGTTATGCATTGAACGGCGTTGTTTATATATCCGTGTGTGTTCATAACAAAACGGTGAATGAATAATTGTCATGATTTATCAATGATTTTTGAAAATCAGGTCTTCTCCCATAATCGCAATAAAATCTGATATAATCATCGATCTTTTAAAGAAATACGATAAATCACGATTTTACGCCAATTTTTTAGAAAATCGCGAAAATCGCGGTGATTCTCACGACATGGGAAAGTTAGTGATTTTCTTTTCTGTTAGGAAGAAAATATAGAAAAAAAAATGATAACTTTCAATTGAATTATTTCTTTTTTTTTGTTATCATTAGATTGTTAAAGAAGAAGATGGATATGATATGTGTTGTTCACAAAAAAAATGGGCTAATATTGCACGTAAAATGAATTTTCATGATACACAAACAAGTCGTGTTCTGAAACAACATTATGAAAAATTATTATTATCTTATGATGTTTATGAAACAGGTATTTATGAAGAACAAACAGATATATCAACTCAAATTGATTTAAAAAAAGGACATAATTCAAAAACAGGTAGATTTATTATTAAGAAGATTTATTTAAAAAAAAAATTTGAAATGGATCTTTTTTTTGTTGTTGTTGTTTTCAATTATTTAGTTGAATCAAATGGAACAATGAAAAATGGAAATAAACGAAAAGATATTTCACCACCATCAATTACAAATAATGTTGATCCCGTAAGAAAATAAAATTTTATGTATTTTTTTTTAATGATTATCCGTAAGTGAAATCTATAGAATGCAAGACAAAAATAAAACAAGGTTATAGATAATACTTTCTGCAATTGAGTTTTATCATACATATGAATATTTTCTATAAAATCAACACATTTTATTAAATGATATGTCATTGAACATGATTATCTAACGAAGGAACTATCCGAATTTAGCGCCAAGTTATGATCGATTTACTGGATTCTCGGTGTGAAATTTTGCCTATAGATAGGCTTAATCATTTCTGAAAGTTTCACCCGAAAATAATATTCATTCGTCGAGTTATTGAATTTTCAAGTGAATTCAATGTTTGTGACGAAATAACATGTTTTTTTTCCGACTGAAACTTTCAGAAGTCATTAAGCCTATCTATAGGCAAAATTGTAGATCAAAAATCCAGTAAACCGGTCATAACTCGGTGGCAAAGGCACCTGGGAACGAACCCCTTTTAGACTTGTTAACCTCGCTGAGACTGACCTAAACAATGGGTGCTAGTTCAGATAATTCCTTCGTAGAGGAATAGTGTGATAAATCTATGAAGCACAGAAATGGAATGGATCAAATTTTCAGTTACACAAAAAATTTTGACGAATCAAAACATGTAAAATATAGAAGACATCATATGATTAAAATTAATAAGAATATTATATAACGATCGGATAGAAGCAAATTGTTGTAAATAAACTAGGCCAATACTTGGCATATGTTCAATGGATTTGAGAAACCTTGCAATATAGAAGAATGTTATTTTTCTTACTTTAACTTGATCTATTTTCATTATTAACAGTAAACAAAGACAAATATCGACATTCTAAATTACAATTAAAAAAAAAAAAAGAACTAATAATTCTTTTTAGTTTGCTAATTTTGTATGTAAATCTTGTACACGTGGTGATGATGATAGTTACTTATTAATTTGTGGCATACGTGATAATTGTTATCATACATATTGTCTTATCCCAGCTTTAATCGAAATTCCTCGTGATCAATGGCGATATCCTAAATGTGTTGCATAAGTAAATTAAATATGAATATTTTTATTTTTATTTTTCCTCATATGAAAATAATGATTTTTATTAAGTTATATCATACAGCAACACCAACGGATGCTTATGGATTTGAACAATTAGCAAAAGAATATACATTAGGAGAATTTGGTGCAATGGCTGATGAATTTAAACGAAATTATTTTAAAAAACCATTATCAGTATGTCATTATTTCTTAGAGAAAAAAAAATGAAAGTTTTTGTTTTTTTTTCTTAAACAAATCTTTAGGAAATATCATGTGATGAGGTTGAACAAGAATTTTGGCGTATACTTTCATTACCGGATGCATCAGTTAAAATTGAATATGAAGCAGATTTACAAACAGGTGAATTAGGTAGTGGATTTCCTACAATAAGAACAAAAGATTTAACTGAAAATGATAAAGTAAATGAAACAGAATATCTGAATAAATTTTTTTTTTCATATAAAATTTTTTTTTTGTAGAAATATCTCAATTCTCCATGGAATCTCAATAATTTTGCTTGTCATTATAAATCTGTTTTACGATATATTAATGCTGATATATCTGGCATGAAAGTAAAATTATTAATAAATTCATCAGATTTATTTATTTATTTGTTTTTTTTTTCTTTTTATTTCGAAAAAAAAGTTCCGTGGGCTTATGTTGGTATGTGTTTTGCTTGTTCTTGTTGGCATGTTGAAGATCATTGGTCATATTCAATTAACTATCTTCATTGGTATGTGCAAAAAAAAATCATAAAAACATAATTCTATTTTTTGCAAAAACACAATCTGAAAGAAATGTTAAAGTATAAAGAGTATCCCATAAGTTCTGGACTTTCACAAAAAATGTAAACAAAGAGTGATTTCTACCAGGCTTTGATATCGGGCCACTTTTTGATGACCCAACCAGACTCAGAGTGGCACTACTATAATTATATTTCTTTTGCAAAAAAAAAAAAGATTTCTACATGATGGAACTCAACGATCACTGGAGTAATTTATCAGATCATCGTAAAAAATTTATTAATTATGATGATCACAGCTTGAATAAGGTTAGACAGTTTTAAAGCTTGAGAGATAAGTCAATTTACTCATTGAACCGAAAGAGTAAGATGCATTCGTTGACACTCCAATTTCTGGAATACTACCATTTATTAGCACGAACCTTGCACAAATACACTGTTCTACTTCAGCAGGAGCGTAGCCAGGAATTTTCTGTGGGGGAGACTAACTTTTTTGAGGGGGGGGGGGGGGGGCTGAACATGGCCAAAAAACTTTTCCGCTGAGCGGAAATAATGTGCCCGTACCCCTTACAGGGAATTTTTCTCCTGAGGGAGGGGGGCTAAAGCTCCCTCAGCCACCCCCTTCCCTACGCCTCTGTACTTCAGTAATGTTCATGCCACTTAATGCAGTTGATAAATGACTCAGGTTTGTGTGTGAATGACATAGACTATCGAACTGAATAAATACTCTGTTTTCATTTATTGCCTAAATGAAATATTTCCAAAATGTTCGCATAATAAAGCTTTCTGACTATTAACAGTTGCGAGATGTATATAATCTATGTAGAAAATTTTGACGAAAAATCAGAATTAAATCGATTAAAATGATGTCATTCAATTCTTAACTTTAGATTTCAATTGATTTTAGTCTTTTTAATCGATTAATAAAGTCTTATCGATTAAAATTGGCTTTTTAGAAACTGATGAAGAAAGATTAAAATCCAATGAAATCTATCTTAAAAGCTAACAAGTGAAGTTTTAATCGAATTCAAATAGTTAGTACCATTTTAATTGATACCTATTCATAAAATAATTGATTCTAATTTAATTTAGAGAAATTTGTTCTTACATGAGTCAGTATTAATTGATATCCTATGTCGACGCCTAGTATGTATATCAAAGTCTAATCTAGTGTGATACTGACGATTTGCTGAGCTGAGAAGTTCAAAAAACAACCAAAAGTTTGAGTTTCTAACTTAAAACTTGAGAAAAACCACCCATTTTACGACCATCGTCATGTAAATCGATTAAAAGTCAAATAATCTAATTTTAATCAAATGATAATAGTCTCCTTTTAATCGATTTTTAGGTAGAAGAAAGTCAATTAGAATCAGATTTTTCTTACTCTGAAGTCCTCCTTACAAAAAAAGAATTAAAGTTCGAGCCGGGTGGTCCGACCAGGCTTACCAAATCTTCTGGTTTGGCCAGAAGACTCCTGATTTTCTTACTTTTCTCCTGATAGAAAATCTCCTGAATTCAGAAGCTGATTCTTATAATTTTTTCCTGATTTCAGATTTTTTCTTACTTGAAAATTAACGATCCCTTGACTCAACACAGAGGCTTCGAAGAGAGAAGAGATCTATCGCAGTGTTTAATGTATACAATAATCCATAAGGATATACATTGCCTTTCGTTGTGAACCAGTTTTTATTCATATGAAATATTCATGAAATAATAATCGAAATAGAATGAAACACAATCTATATAGTTGGAACTGAATTAAAGCTTAAAATGAATACTCATTATAGCCGTGCATAGTTTTATAATTATCTTTTAAATAAACCAGATTCTTTGGAACAGATTTGATCGTCAGATAAGTATAGTCATATTGCAAAAGTGTCACGAATAGTTTAGTAAATTGGTTATAAATTGTTTTACTTGATATGTTCTGATTTTTAGTATTTGACGAATTAGCTTTGATTTTATATTTTTTGTATATATTCTAATACACTGCAAGTCAAAAGTCTGGTATCACTTTTGTTTTGAGTGATATATGAAAACTACACGAGATTAATTTAATTTGTCTATATACGTGTATAGTAGAGGTCGAGTACTATCTATCTATCTATCCATCTATCTATCTATCTATATATATATATATATATGGTTAATATGAAAAGCCCTTGAATATAAAATACAATAATAACAACAAACAAACTTCAATGCTAAGAAAAAAAAATAGCATAAAAAACTACAAAATGATAATAAAAATACTTGAAGAACTTTTTGTTTTGCCATAGAAATTGTTTATACAGATTTTATAGAACTTTCGATGGCGCATCTTTTGGAAAAAAAGCCAGAGTTTATCATGTTGTCTATGCAGAAGTATTCGCAAAATAAACTATGTTGCAAACATTTTGGGACATTCGGTATTTCAGTATTTAATATTTTAGCCATAATATCATCATTTTTCAATGAAGTCTAAAATGTTTTTCTTCTTAAATCAAAATGATCAGCGAAAAAAGCTCTACAGAGTCTGATAAAATGAAAAGTCTTTTGAATACTTTGCTAATATACAGGCATATAGACACATAAAATTAATGTTGTGTAATTTTAATACACGACTCAGAACAAGAAAGTGCTATCAGACTTTTGACGCGCACTATAATTGCTTATGAAATAACTATGAAAATAAACTTTATGAAATTATCAACCTTTATTAATTTTATTTCATTTATAAGAGAATTTTTTCACCAGTACGTTGATTTGGAAAAGAGAAAAGTGTATATAAGAGCAAAAACTCGGATCTTATCAGACAAAAACCAACGAATGACTCTTGAACGTCAAAGAAAAACCTCCTGATTTAGAAAAATAATTCTCCTGAAAAACTCCTGATTTTTTTACAAAAAAACTACTGATTTCTAAAATTTGAATTTGATAAGCCTAGGCCCGACTGAATTTTAGGCCCGCCCGGTCCGGAATAAAAATCTCCCTGGTTGGGGCGGGCCGGTTGGCTCGTTTCGAGGCCTGATTCATAGTTCATTAATACTTCTTTAAAAAAAATACTGGTCGACCTTGAGATATCAATTATTACGTTTCTTCTGTTTATATCACTAATATTAAAAGAAATAATGTCATTGGATAATATACCATTTAAAACATTGTCATAAGCACTCGAAGCTCATATAGATATAGTTGGCTACAGATCACTCTTTGTTTACATATAAACGAACTTTCGTTGAGGTTCAGAACTTATAGGACATTCTTTAGGGGGTATCAAATTTGAACTACTACAGACCATGACAAACGTTGTTGATATACGATCAAAGACCGTATATCAATAATGTCTCGTTACTACTTCCTTATTGTATTTCTCGAGGATTAAGTAAAACAGTAGGGAAGAAATGTGTTCCAAAATAGATAGAATAAAGTAATCTCCCTATAATTAGCAGTAACAGCTACATTGTATTTCACATTTTAATTCCGCAAGGATTGCGTTAATAATTTTTTGTTTTTAGGGGTGAACCAAAAACTTGGTATGGTGTACCAGGTTCAAGTGCTGAAAAATTAGAAAATTGTATGAAATCATATGCTCCAGAATTATTTTCTAAAACATCTGATCTTCTTCATCATCTTGTTACAACAATGAATCCATCAGTATTAATACGTGATGGAGTACCAGTTGTTAAAACACATCAACATGCTGAAAAATTTGTTATAACATTTCCTCGTGCTTATCATGCAGGTTTTAATCAAGGTTTTAATTTTGCTGAAGCAAATAATTTTTGTCCAACTGATTGGGTAAATTTTTTTAGATAAATATTTTTCAGAGATATTTATTTTACATATATTTTAGCTTCCGATGGGTCGTTGTGCAATAGATCATTATAAAGAAATGAAACGTTATAGTGTATTTTCACATGATGAATTAGTATATAAACTTGCATCAGAATGTCAATATCTTGATCCAGATATAGGTGATGCAACAAAATTTGAACTTGATTATATTGTTAAACAAGAAAAACATAGTCGAAAATTAGCATATGAACAAGTTTGTTAATAAAAAAATTTTTTTTTCGAAAAATTGTTTTGTTTTTCAAAGGGAGTAACAGATGCTGATCGAGTTTGTTTTGAATTAATGCCTGATGATGAAAGACAATGTGATGCTTGTAAAACAACATGTTTCTTATCAGCTATATCTTGTTTATGTAAACCAAGTATGTTTATTTATTTTTATAAAATATCTTTTTTTGTTTTTTTGACGAATTAACAATTTTAGATATTCTTGTTTGCATAAATCATGTTGATCAATTATGTTCATGTTCACCAAAAAAATATTGTTTATGGTATCGTTATACAATTGATGAAATGTCAAATATGCTTGATGCATTACGTGAACGTCTTGATCTTTGTCAAAAATGGAAAATACTTGTTAATCGACTTATTTCAAATGATCATCAAAATCTTATCGGTAGGAAACGATAAATCAATGATGTTTCGTTTTTTTTTCGATATAAAGAATGATAGTCTTTTTTGTAAATTAAAACCGAAAACAATTTTACCTTTAGTTTTCAGAGATAGATGGAGGACAATGTGCATTTTTGAACGAGTAAATAGCGGAATTCTGGAATTCTATAGAATCTGAAATTCAGGATTCCGTTAGATTTCGCTATTTCCTGAGCTTAGTCATTCCGAAAACTAATTTCAGAAAAAAACTATACATTCAAATTAAAAGACTTCTTCAATAATCGATACTAGACAATATGCAGTTTCAGAATATCTACTTGATGCATCTACCAGGTCGTTTAATTTTCTCATCGATATCAGTGTTTCCAAGCTAATTTTTGAAATCTAGTTGTTCCACTCTGCTGAACAATTCTTAACAAAAATTTTTACGTTATTAGATGGAGCATGTCTCAAAATATATGTATGTACGGCTAGTTGAATCGATGAAAGAGTAACTTTCATTTTTTTACCTAATGTCCTCCTGAATGCACACTATAGAGGGCGAAGAATGATTGAGTGCTAGAAAAAAGAGCGTCGCGCTCCACATAAGTTATACCTTTGCTTGGTTTTGATTAGTCATAGAATACGATTTCAAGTTTTTGTATGATAGATTTTAATGATATTGAAAAACATACGACATCTGGTGTATTATGTTTACGTGATGATATTCGTATAAAAATGGAAGAAAAATTAGCTGAAGCTATTGAATATCGACAAATGGCAAAAAATATTTTAAAACGTATAACATGCAAGTAAGAATAAAATCATAACATTATTTAATAGATGAAATAATTTATTTTATTCTAGAGATGAATTAATAGAAAATAATAATAATGATGATGATTTAAATAAAAAGAAAAAAAATTTTAATGATGAAAATAAAGTTACATTAAATGATATAAATCAATTAAAAAAATCGAGTAAAATCAACTGGTATTACATTTAATGAAATGAAAACTAATCAAGTAATATATATATATATATATATGATGGTTCTTTTTTTTTTGTCTATTGATTATTATTAATTGAAGATTTCTTCTTTTAGAATATTTTAACTGATTGTCTTCATTATCAAGATGAAATAAAAATATTACTTCAATCGGATAAACTTCTGTCAACGGATGTTTATTCAAATTATATTGAACGTAATAATCAATATCATATTGAATTACCAATTATTGAACGTTTTAAATTATTCTATCAAGCTAGTATTTGGTATGAACTTGTACAAAAAACATTAAATCGAACAATATCATCAATTAAACTTCGATCATTAATATCATCTGGACAAACATTTCAAGCATTACATCAACAAATTCAACAAAAATTAATGAATTACAAATACAATTACAATAATTAGAATATTGGGATGAAAAAACTCGACCATTAACCAAAGAAGAGTAAGTTATTCCAGTAGAACTATTAGATTATATGATAGGTCTTACAATTGAATAGAATTTAAGTTTAAAAGAAAAAAGAAAAAATTATTGAGGAAAAATTTTTAAATGATATAATTATTTTGATGACGATTGATTAATTATTAATAAACTCAGAAAATTTTAACTTTTGAAAATTGCATTTTAATTCTCTTAAGGATGGAAGAAAGAGAATAAAACAAAGTTCTGTATAAATCAAACTATTCATTTAACAAAATATTATCTTTATTACAAACTCTAAACATCAATCTGTCTAATTCATAAAACTCAATAATACACGTAAAGAGCAGCTTTTATGACTTATTTTTTCCTAAATCTTGTTATCTTTTATTATAACGGAAGGAGCAAAAGTTTTGCATTTGTCTAGTACAAAGACTTTGATCGGAAATGTTTTTTGAAGATCGTCACTGCCTTAGAACAAAAGATATTGAATAACTCTTTCACAACTTTCTTAATTTAGAAAAACTTCATACAATATAAAAAAGTTTGCTATAGCGGATATGAATATTATTATAACATCTTCTGATACCACTGATTTTCCCTTAATTACTGATCATAGACCAAAAAAAATTTAATTCTACTTCGAAAGAGAAATTGTTAGAAAACTTTGTTTTCACATCATAAATACAAAATCGGTTTTTCAATTAAACTATTTCCTGTTCAATCTCTTGTATATCCTGATCAATTATTTTAATATCATATGAAAGCCGTCGTTGTAATCAAAAAGTTGTATATATGACGCTGGAGAACATCGAAAATTGATAATCAAAAAAGTCAAACAAATATATTGTGATTGAAGTTGTTACGGAAGACTTTCCTACTACCTATTGTTCTAAAATTTTTATGATCTTCAAAAAAAAACTTTCGATCAAATTCTTTTATTTTTTTTTTTTTGCCTAACATTTCTACGATATTCCATTGCAACGTTATATCAAAAACAAAATTCATACTGTAGTTTTCTCTCATGCATAAAAGCAATAGATAAATCTCGATAGTCTTCTTTTATCAAAAATATTCTTTGTTATTCTTTAGACCACATCCAACATTAAATACTTTAGAACAATTTGTTAAAATTGCTGATGAAGCAAATATTCATTTAAATTCAATTGATAAAATAAAAACTTTAATTAATGAATGTCATCTATGGAATGAAAAATTTGAACAAATGCAACAAGGTGAACATTATCCATTTTTATCTTCATATGAACAATTATATGAACAAGCTCGACATTTTCATATTGATTTGGAACCATTAAAATTAATTGAACAAACTATTTTACAAGTACGTTCATTGCTTGAAAAAACACAAACAGTTTTTCGTCGACCAGATTCAAATTTAACTTTAATTGAAGTTGAAATTTTAAATAAAAACGTACATAAGATTTTGAAATTGGAGAACGTTTGGATTAAAATGCATATAACCTAATTCACTTTAAATGTAGTCTCTTGTATATGTTGATTCATCATATATTTTATAAGAAAAATTCGAACAGCTGATACGTGCTCATCGATCGGCCATTAAGACTATTATTTCTTTTTTTTTTCCTCCGCTTATATAGTCCGATGTGAATGTTATTGTTCGATGGAGATATACAGTATATATAAGGAAAAAAAATTAACAAACACGAACAATAAAATTTTTACAATTTTACATTCATACATTTATCTCGATTAAAAAGTATATTGTTTCATCGTTTTTATGAACAAAATGTCATCAAGTGAACAATTTGAAGAAATTGAAGATGATGATAAACTTCAAGTAAGAATTATTCTTGATTCTATTATCACAATAAGTTTCTTTTTTTTTTCGTTAGTTATTATCAGATCTTATTAATAATCCCTCAACATCTGATAAGAAAAAAGCAAAATGTCTTCATCAACGTATTATTATCAACTATGAAAATAAAAAATGGCTAAGTAAGTTTAATTATGCTGTTCTAATTAAGCATTTTTTCTTTCGTTTCAGATGTAGTCGATGACATAAAAATGTTCGAGAAAATAAATAATTCTGGTGTATTTTCAGTTTTAAAAATGTAAGTTAACGAATTTCATTACTTTTATATACATGTTGCTCTCTTTTTAGTAAAGTTAGACTTCACGAACATTGTCGAAAAGCACGGCTCTCCATCATGAAAATGATGGATAATGGAAGTAAGTATTGAAATATTTTCGGTCATTGTATTTCATTTTTTTTTATACAAACAGATTATTGTGATGAACATGAAAAGCTATTTTGCAATATAAGTCAAAAAAATATCGACGATTTGATCAATGGTAAGATTTTGATGGAAAATATTTATTTACATTGTTTACTGTTTTATATTTAGGTGAAATGCCAATACGTTGTCGATCAGCAAAGAAATCTATCAAGCGATTAACAAAATAACATTCAATTTAATTTAAGATAGACTTGTTTATTTTGATTTATGGTTAATCATGATGAATATGACATTTATTATATACTTGTTCTTCCTAATCCAACTCAATGGTTTTTTTTTTCATTATATTCACTATTTATCTTTATGGTGTTTCATTGTCTTGCAAAATTGATTGTATTCTTTATGTGTTTCATTGTCTTGCAAAATTGATTGTATTCTTTATGTGTTTCAATTTTGTCAATGACTATATTGTTTGTTTAAAAAATTTGTTTTTTTTTCACAATAAACATGAGAAGAAAAAAAAACGTTTTTATATTAATTCAGATATTTTGCAAAAAAATAATCATGAACGATCGATAACTTGATACAGAAATAATTTTACCATGTATTGTAAATGATCCAAAAGAATAATATTCAATGTAAGAAGAGGAATAAAATTGATTATATTCATTTTTAAAGGATTCATATTTAGTCTTTTATAATTATAGTCGAAATTCATTAGAATACTAAATTAAGTTTTGCTTTTTCGGATTATTTTTTATTAAAACAGATTCATGATCCATTAATAATTCACTAAAGGTGTGTTATCTTAAAAGATTTTTATTTATTTTCTAGTCGATTTAAATCTGATTTGATCTTATGAAAATTTAGAAGTTTATAAACAACAACAATTAATGACAATAACAAAATAAAAAATGATTGATTATTGCAAGAAATCGAACAATTATAAACACTTATTCAACTGTCACTATATTATTTTCTAATTTAATTGATTATTAACTGTTTGGTTTAGGTTAAAAATACATCAGGTTCAGTCAATGATCTTCAAACATATCATGAAGACTGATATACTTGATAAACCTATTGTTTATTCAAAACTTCATCATTTATTGTTACTACTAGTACCTGTACCTGTACGACTATATCGCTTTTTATTAAATTGTTGCGCTATTAGCAAAGACTTCAAAACGTAAGGAAATTCTTATATATGATAAAAGTGAAGTTATCATATACAATATTGATGATACTTTAGTGAGTTATTTTATTTTTCTAATTTTCCTTTTTTGATAATTGCATGAGTTTGGGGTAGAAATGTTTCATGATCTGTAGTAAAACATGGTTTTCTATCAGATATTGCTTGATGTTCAACATTTGAGTGTTTTTCTCGTTTTGGGTCGAATGGCACTTTCATTATTTGATACACATTTATTTTCGTGTATTAGTGTACAACAAGTTTATGGTAATCAATAACATCATTTTATTGCTTTGGCATATATTGAAAAAGATCAAAATGTGTTTTCTCTGTGGTCATGATCCAAAAGAAATTATCCGATATAGTTTAATACCAGAATGGAATTCAAAAAAAAACTTGGTCAAAAGAAAATTTAATTAATTAAGATAATGCTGATAAAATTTTGTTGGTAATATTTCTTTTTATATAGCTTTTTCTATGTATTCGATGCATTCATGTTAATCCATAAGACAAGAGATAGTTGTATGTAAAATTTACTTTAAAAAAAATCCTATCGCTTCTATATCGAGAAGAGAAGAATATTTTAAGTAGAGAAATGTAGAATATTGTATATAAAACGAACATTGATGAATGTTTTGGTGTAGATAAATGAAAAAAAAAGGTATACTTCATTAAGAAGTTAAATTATATAAGTGATGCACTTTTTATTGTTGCAAAATGGTCTTGTTAATCCATTTTAGTCGAGTTACTGTTAGACCTTATTCTCTCTTTATTATTCTTATGATTATTATCAATCCTTCTTCCACCAAAAAAAAACACACAATAGAAAAAAAAGCAACAAAGCAACAAAATGTGTTTCTCTCTTTCACTTCTTCCATTCTTTATCTCCTCTTTATCTACCGGATAACATGCCGTATAAAGAAAAGGAACAATGTCACTAATATGATACGATGATACGATAGAAGAAGAGAGGAGCCTTCTTATGTCAGGAGATGTCTCGCCTGACATAAGAGTTACTCCTATTAATTAACGTCTTGCTCCAAATTTACGCCGTCTTAAAATAAATTGGATTGTAAAGGTCGTTACTGTGAAATTAATTAAAAAGTTATTTGAACGTGATATTTTATTTTCACTGATGAACTTCACATTATTGGTGAAGATGGCTAATCATCATGTTCTTCGCAATTTACTATCGATGCTTTCTAGTCAACATTTATATTCGCTTGATGTTAACTGATTTGTGGGAACTGTAGTGTCACTACCCGAAACAAACAAAATCTTATCCGGCACGTTTCAATAGCTCAAAGGATTAGTGTCAATTAAATTAGAACTATCTTTAGAAGAAAATATGTGTTCTATTAGAGTTGCAACAGTATCAAGAATGGATAAATATTTGTCTGTCTATTCTTATCTACCTAAAAATACTGTGCATGGGTATAAATAGAAGGTTTTGTTTTTTATCACAGACATTTTTCTAGATTTAGACGGAATCGATGGTCATATAATAGATGTTCTTTGAACAATCATTTGATACACTGCAATAAGATTCTTATGAGTGAAAAATTATGATCAAATCAACAATGAATTTCTTTCTTTGGTATCACTTATCGTTCCTTGGCATCAAATTACATCGTTTAATATTGCTCAACCATTCAATTCATCTCATCTTTACGTTTTCTTTTCGCAAGCGAATAATCCTTCATCATTTGAAAAACAAACATGTAGAAAGAATATATTCTCAGATAACTTGTTTGATTGATATTATTCAGTCATTCCATGAAGAGCTATGACTGATATGATGCCAAGAAAGAGTAATTTTTCATCTCGTTCTCCATAAGTTCTTTTATTTATTTGAAAATAAATTACAGAAAATGTCAGAACTGATATTTCGAGGATAGGAAAATTTGCAGAAGCTATTGAATATAGGCTTTAATAAATTTCAATATCGTAAAACGGATTTGTACGTCATACAATTGAATTTGCTCATCAGTTATAAACCATTACGGGTCTTATGATGATGCTAATATCCATGACTATTTCTTTTAGTATTAAATTGAAAAAAACGTGAATCTATATGCTATGCTTTCTATGATGTAACATATCATCAATAAACACACAATGATGTATAACTTATCTTGACGGTGAAGGTTGAAAACTATTCGAAGCATAATTCTGTTAAGGTCCCCACTCTCAAAAATCGATCTCAGGCCAAAAACGTTCGTATGGCATGAAATTTTCGGAATATGTTGGGGCTGGTGTGGGAAGGCTATAGTAAAATTTTCAGCCCTGTACCATGACATTTGACGGAGATATTGGCCAAACAAGAGTCAAAAAAATAGGTAATTTCGTCTCCAACATTTCTCTGCGGTCTTCAGTCTATATATTTATTTTTTTTTGTTTGAAAGAGCATGTCAGAATGCAGTGCCTATGAGAGTTCTTTTTTCAAACTCCTACTTTTATAGGGAAAACAAGGGATCGAAACTTCAATGACTCGAAAAAACTCTTCAGAAACGGCGCTCTAATTACATAAAGAGTTGTATATATAATAAAAGCAAAGCTTAATAAAAAAAAAACTGGCTCTCATAGGCACTGCAGTTTTACACGCTCTTTCAAACAAAAAACACTATTGGCTACAATGAAGCTTCTTCGAGAATTCTTGGAGATGCGATCGAGAATCTATAAAGCGAAGAAAAATCGAAAAAAATTTTCGGTTTTTTTTCAAAAACAGCTTGTTTTTCGAATAGGGAATGACGAAAATCTTCAATCATTTTGGCATAAGAAGAGGTGCTGAGTAAAAATTTTTGTCGTTTATGAGAGACCAGATGATGGGCTATCTTTTCCTACATTTATCTTAATTTCGGTAGTTTTGACGAAAAGTGACTTTTTTTGAGGGGAGCCCTTAAAATCGATTAGCAAGAATTCAAAGAAATCGCTTGACAATAAAAACGATCAACTTTGATGACTAAAAGTCAGATTATAATCGAGTAAAAATGGTGCCATTTTAATTTATTCTGGATGAAGAAACAATACTTCTTAATCTAATATCTTGCCTTTTCAACATAGTTACATGACACTAGTAGCATATTCATACAAAAAACAAGATATGTGTAATGAAAAAAGCGATTCTTTGTGACTGAGTGTCATCATTTAATTGCTTAAAAGTCTTTCATCACTATTTAGCACCAAGTCGAGATTCAGGTTTGTTTTATTACTTGTCTGACTTCTCTATAATATGATAAGAGACGTTCAATCTCCTTGAAGTCGAAAGAGATTGTATGGAACGATAACGAACTAATGCCCATTCAGAAAAAAAAGGCGGGTAGGTATTTTTTTTAATAACTTTGCACCACAACCACCTATTGAGTTCGAGTTTGCGTCGTTTAAAAGAGGCTTATCTAGCACATCGATCCATATAAAATTGTTGAGGTTCATTTTGATGAATAAGTAATGATCTACGGTCACCTTGAAAGCGTAGACTGTTGTGCTATGAAGATAGAATCAATTTTAACTTTTGAGGAGCGGACTAGAATCAGCAGCTGAGAGCCTGCAAATCTACGAAAGGCCGAAGTTTTTATCTCAATTCGTTCAAAATTTATGAACCAAATATTGATGGTATTTGACCAAATTTTTATCAATTTTGCCTTGCACACAACGTTTTTCAAATTATCATTATTGATGTTTTTGATCATGGCGGATCGATTGGCAATGGTTATTTCCTGTAGAACAAGTCTTTTTCTATCAAGATATAACTACTATTGTCCGTTTCAAAATAAAAGGCAGGTTACTATTTTTCGAATAACTTTTGATAGGAATGCGATAGAGAGCTGCAGTTTTCACCATTCGAAAGAGCAGGATCTGGGCAACAATTCCATATAAAAACCAAAGGATTAGTATTATACATAGGCACGGTTATTTGGTTAGACTTTTCTAAAATTTTGTCATTCTCATAACTTCCATTACACATTTCTTGTTCAGGAGTGGATACGATAGCCTGGATCATGCTCTATAAAACTACGCAAACAGCACGTCTCTATC